CGTGACACTCCGGCTTCTGTGACGTCATTTGTTGCCACTTTGGGACCCTTTCTGATGCATGGGCGGGATAGGACGCTAAACTCAACAGTCGAAGACGCGCTGCAGGAACAACAGTTTTAGCAAAGGACGTTCATGCACTTTACCTGTGAGGTTTCCAGCTGTAAATTTGTTTACATATTGAATAGATGACGATAAGACCCGAAACCTCGGTATTTGGTGCCAATTCCGCTAGCGCTATATGTTCGGACGGACACCGAGCGTTCGGCGATGCGTGGTTTCTTTTTGCGATGCGAAAAACACGCTTCCCTTCTCATTCAACTGACTGAGTATTAAAATAAAGGACCGTGTGCCGGCTCTGCCCGCATTGGAGAGTTTAAGTAGATCGTTCCGAAAATGATATGATGTTCGCACCAAGGCGTCGGCAGAGTATCGCGTATTGTCATCAGAGTTATTGGAACGGCCTAGTAAATTTCCCCAATGTCGTGCTCGTCAACCGCAATTTCGGGTGTTTTTTTTTTTTTTTTTTTTTTTAACTTTACGGAAAGAAGCCGGGAAAGTTACACTTATGAGGTTTCTGCAGGTGAGTTATACGGCCAGGGGACATAGTATAGGGGGATAATCGTAACGATCAGAAGGCCAATTAATTAAAATTCGTTAATTAACTTTTAATTAATAAAATAGACATGTGGTTTCAATTAAAAACTTGCCGAGTGTCCGAAAACCACTAAATCAACATTTTTTATGAAGATATAAGACAAGGGCAGGATTTTACGGCGTTCTGAGAAAATGTCCAGTTTCGACGCGTTTCTAGATTTCGGTTTCTTATCGAAGCGAATTTTTGCGGCCGCCATCGTGCTCCCTGGTGGTTGCGGCGCGAGGCCGCCTCTCGGTGCCCTCGTAGGATCGGGGGAAGTAGGCCGTACGTGCGTTGCGCTTCTCAGCCATTGGGGAGTAGAACCGCGGGGTCATATGTGCGCTACGATAAGAAAACGAAACCTAGAAACGCGTCCAAATGAAGCGTTTCTCTACAGAACGCCGTAAAATGCTTCCCCTGCATTATATATTTCTAGAAAGATTTGATTTAGTGGTTTTTGACACTCGGCAAGCTTCTTATTGAAACCATATTGTATTTTTATTAAATAAAAAAGTTAATTAAGCAATTTTAATTACCTAGCCGACTGACCGTTACGCTCAGCCGCCTATACTATGTTCCCCTGGCGGTATAACTCACCTGCACAAACCGCATAAGTGTAACTATCTCGGACCTCTTTAAACAAATATGTTAATTTTAAAAAGATCACACTGTATATGTTCCGCCAGGTGATATTTGACGAGAATCGTTGACAGCGGGTGTCGGGTGCGGGCACACGGAAAGGATGTGCCGAGTCTGCTGCAACATGTTTTCGCCAAACGTTGCAACGCGCTTTGCAAACGGCGATCAAACAGTCCAGGGACTTACGGACCTGCGTCGCAAGTTGTGAACAGAGCGCGCGCTACAAAAACTGCTTTACACACTTGCGTTTGCTTAGGACCGATTTCTTGTGATCTCTAACGACGAGAGAACAGTGGGCTTTATATTGGCGCTGGTTGCACACTGGCGCCGTTTCAAATCTGGGCAACCGGGACCGAACCGGAAAACGAAACCGAACCGTTATTTTTAGCCAAACCGGAACTGAACCGAAATCTTCGCCGCCATCTTGGAACTGAACGAAAAAATATAACGGTAACCGGTTCAAAATGGTTCACGGTAATTATTGTTTGTTAGTATCACAAAATATATATTTGAAAATAAAAAATTGACAGCTGTATTTGCAATGTATGAGAAATTGTGGATTTTCGTGGTGCAATTGTATTGACACTATAAGTAGGGGTGTCGCGAACCGGTCGCGGTTTGAGTTCGACCAGGTTCGACTTTTTCGAACTTATAGTGAAAAGTTCGGCGAACCTTGTATTGAGGTTCGACTCGTGTGCGCATGCGCGACAGGCAGGCCAGTTGGCCTCGGATTGGATGGTGATAGCTAAGGGATAAATCAAGGGCAGCGCTGATTGGTTCTTTCGGTTAATTCAGTACACAAAATTAAGTTATTAACTTATTCAGTGATAAGAACTTATTTTTTTTAATTGCAACTGTTCATAATACAAAATAACCCATTGCATATAAAAAAAATTCTCCAAACCTAGACATGCTTGTATCGAGGTCTGGCCACAGTGTCCACAAAGTCGAACCGGTCGAATCTGGTGAAAAGTTCGAAGGTTCGTCGAACCGGTTCGACTCAGTCGAACCCCGAAAGTTCGACCTAAAAATCCGGTTCGACAAAAGTTCGCGACACCCCTAACTATAAGTAATCATATGTCACGTGACGTCATGATGTTAAGACATGCTCTCAAGTAATGTCACGTTACTATTGCTCACGTGACTTACTGCGTCAAGTCGATTTAGATTGAGAACGCGTCACTAGATTTATTAGCGTTGGTAACACCGTGACGTAACATGACATCACGACTTTTCACCGCGAGTCGTATACACCGTGACGAGTGCTCGGGTTCGTGACAATCGTCATCGCCACACATTCGGGTAATGGCTTGCGTTTAATCAAAGAGGAGAATAGCTGAACTCTAACAATGTCTGAAGCTTAGCCCATGCTCTATGCTTTGCCAACCTCAGCGCAGGACTATGATGAACGCTGACGGCATGTAATTAGCGTCAGATCACCTGGCCGCTCGTTTGTAATTGCGAATTGAGGGGGGAAAGGGGGGGGGGGGGGCAGGAGGGGGAGGAAAGGAAAGCTGTTTCTTTTATCTCGTCTACGTCTGCCATTGCGCGGGGAGTAAAACTAATGGGTGTTTTTGCAAGCTATCTACATCTGGGATTAGTTCGTAACGGTATTTACTAAAAGTTAAAAAAAAAAAAAATTGCCGCACGACCTAGCTTACATGTACACATCATTAGGCACCCAAACGTGTTTTCGTTATTACTAAACTAGCGTCAGATAGTTGTCCCCAAGAATATAGAAGCACTGAAAGGACTAAATGTGACTTAATTAATTCGACGATAAAATAACTACAAGTGTGTATGGATGGGACACCCGAAAAGAAAGATCTAAGTGGCCTCAAAGAAACAGCCGAACGTGGCAGCCACTCAAAACCTGACAGGAGTGTCGTTCTCAAGTACTTCCCAAAGCTTCGACCACCTCCGTATTTTGTTTAAACGTCGCAGTTTTGGGGGGTAAAATAAAAGCATTGGAGGATTACTGATAATAAGTGACACAAATATACTTGTCCCGTTGACACCCCCAAAAGGAACATTGACACCCCCCAAAAATGTTTTTCTTCATATTTTGCCAGGCGATTCATTATGGTGTCGGAAGACTACTCGATTAATATTTTGCTACAGAGTCAAGCATATTCTTAAAGGGATACTACAACGAAATTTCGGCGCTCATTTGTTGGTCTATATGTGTTCAAAAACGCACCATCAAATCGAACATACCAATATCTTGTTAAAAAAAGTCACGAAAAGGAATTTTAAAACGAATTAAACGATTAGCAAAGAGCACCTGGTGGATGTCGCTAACGCCTCGCTTGTAATGCCCGTCTGGCAACCTTGGCAGCTAGTGACGGAGGTTGTCTCTCCTCCGGCCACGACGAGAGACAGACGAGAGAAGAGGATCAGGAGGAACTCCCCTCTTCCCGGGAATGCCTTTTGTGTGTCACAAAAGTCGCTATTGTCCCCCTACAAGATTATAGAAGATTAACCCGTCACTCAAAATTTGTACAAAAGCAGCCGCTTCGGTGGCTGGAACGACTAGGCCATCCTCTCGACGTCAGCCTCGCCGTAGCTTTGCTCGTCTTGAGACGACCTACGTCACGATTGCGTTGGATGTCACGTGGTCTCCGCTGGGCCTTCTCCGAGCGCTTGCCGGAGTGGGCCGTTTATAACGAAAAATACAGCCACCAGGCTCAAAATACAAACGTGCGATTGTCATTTACGGATATTGTGGATCATATTCAACCTATTTTTGAACACGGCGGGAATATTTCAAATTTCGTTGAAGTATCCCTTTAATAAAGCCAAAAAAAGAAACGCAACTGCTCGAAACGGAAACCGAAACCTCTGCACGGAGGTCAGAAAAATATGGAGAACGAGAGAGAGCCGGAGGTCACGGGCACTTCGGAAAGCGGACGCTACCGGATTCATATGCTCCTTGCATTTTGTGGAAAGTGACTACATTAACACCCCCAAAGAGAAAACAAAAGTCCCTCGAGAATAAAATAACTACAAAAGCAAATTTTCTGGGGGTAGGAAAAAAAAAAGAAAAAAAAAGGTTGGGGGGGGGGGGGGGGGGGTAGTTTTATCATTGATAGCGAGGCTGCAGTTGTGCAGTTTTCTACGCGACCTTCGCGACCTTCGGGAGGCCAGCGTGAGCCCGCGACACGCGTCCCAGTGAAGACACGGGTGCCGGACGGACGCCGACGGAGCCCGCTCTGGCCTCTGAGAGGTGACGTAAAAAGCCCAGAGCTGCGGCCTTACCATCTCAGAAGCGTTATGGACCTGTTGCTCTCTCCCACATTTTACACTGACCTCGAAACAAAGTCTGCCTTATCATCGCCTGCCACCGGAAATAAACTTGGGAAGGAAAATACGAATCGGAATGTTATCTGTGGAATTCAAGTGTGCTCGAGGAATTGCTTCGACGCTGCAAGGATCAGTGCACTTTTGCATTCCTACGTAATGGACCTGTACAATCGGTTAAGATCATAAAAAAAGAAAAAAAGAAACGCTGTATTACTTTTATTTTAGAGCTGGACGACACGTTGTGTGATAAGAAAAAAAAAAACTTAATATTTTTTTACTTTAAGTTTGTGAAACTTTAAAGGATCAATACAACGAAAAGAGGAACACTATTTTTGAACATACCTCCTTCCTTTGATATGCATATCGTAGAAGTTTTTGTAATCTTTTTATTTAATGAATTCCTTTCTTTTTTTTTTTTTTTTCTTTTGTAAATTCTCCGCAGACTATGAGAACAGATGTGAAAAAGAAAATAAATTATTTTGCCCATGGTACAGTAACGAGACATTAAGAACCAAGCAATCTTTTCTTCGCTCGCAGAATGAAACAAACAACTCGGTTATCAACTCCGAAGTCTACGTGTTTTACAACGGGTGTGCTGCGCACTCGGAGAAACGACAACGGAAAACCTACTAAACTCGAACGGACACACGGAATTTTCCCCTCCGTTAACCCGCCGGCAGCGCAGACTGAGCAAACCAAACCGTCGTCTCCCGACCAACTTGGTTCCGTAGTAAACATGTGGGTTTCCGAGTGACGCATGCCGCTGACGCACGCGGCACAGCGTCAGTGGGCAGTACAGCGCGTAGCGTCAGCGCGCGTCACCGCAGAAAGCCGAAAGCGCTTCGCCGTCGGAGACGGCATAGGTCGCGGTCCTCGTCTGGCAACCCGCGCCGAGCTCCGCCGCCGCCAGCCGCCGCCTCGTCGTCGACAGTTGTACATGTTTTTCATTCATGCAGTCTGAGTGAATCGCCGGCTTCCAAACTTTGCGCCGTGGTGTCTGTGTGTGTTGTTCGTGCGTGCGTGCGTGCGTGCGTGAAGTTTTCGAGTTTTGCCCGAAGAATGACTCGAGCCAGGTGGTCCCAACTCCGCTGAACACGGCACGGATAATGTCTACGGCCCCCGACGAGGTATTTGACGCCGATCTCTCGGCAAACTTTTCCGCCCTAGCGAGCCGGCGTTCGGTGGGGGAGAGCCCCTCCGACGTTAGGCCTAGCGTGGAATGTCACTGACCTTTTGTCTGGCGAGTTTTTGCGCGTGTTTCGGGGCTGGAGACCGCCGGCACCACGGCCGCAACGGCCTTCCTCGGGTTCGGTGTGGAATGTCGCCTTCGGAATCGGAGATCGCCGGTCGAATCGCACTCTGATTTCCTGAGCGCTACTCGGGAAATCGACAGATTGTATCGAAAACTGGGATCATTTGGGTTTTCTATTTTTTTTCTTCCCACCGGCGGTGTTGGCGAAGAATGCACCGCCACCCCACCTCCGCTCCCGGCATCGGCGGTACCGCCTTTCTTTCTTTGTGCTTGCCGCTCGAAAACTGAGCGGCGATTCTGTCCCGGCCGTTAAGTTTTAGGGTTCCTGTATGATTCATAAAGTTGGATTTACTCGCTCGCTGCGCGAGATGGTTCCAACGCCAACGTCGTAGGCGACATTCCGGTCCTGCCGGTGATTGATGCGATCCGTCACGGTGCGACCAAATTTGCTTGTCTGGAATTGGCATGACCCCGCACAAGGAGACAGACACCAAAGACGCGCTTTCTTCCTAATCTCGGCCGCTGTCTTCTCCCGAGGGGAGCAACTGTTTGTGATGGTGCTCGGCGGCTTATCGCACTGCAATCGGCCAAATCTAGCACAGGGCAGCGATATTTTTCACTGACACCACCGCGATGGGAACGGTCAACAACTCGGTCGACTTTGGAGGCACTTTCTTTTCTCCTTTCCCTATGCGATACTTTCCGCAACGTCGGCCGACTTGGGGTAGCCGAAGCTAGACTTGACTCAAACATGCAGAGTCATCTACGGGGGCTGATGACACCTACTTGCTCGGCATCCCCCCTGCTTTTTTCACATAGATGCTGGTTTGGTTCACGAACAAGTGCGTGCATGTACACTTTGTGACACCCAGTCTTCTCTTTCGTATTCCAGTGTTCATTCGATTTTTTTCTTTTTTCCACACGCTGTCACTACGCGAAGCAAAATATGCTTTCACTCTAAAAAACAAAACAAAAAGTAATAAAAAAAGAATGTGCGCAGCGCGAAGAATGTCACGTCGCGAGCATTTTTAACCCCACCATCATTATTTACTAGCTGTTGTGATTTCCAGACCAGTCGGCGGTCGTTCGGATATGTTGATACCAATGAAAAAACAGTGAGTGCGCAGGCGAGCTGGTGGTCATGATGTAGAAAACCCGAAACTGTGGTAAAAGTTGGGAAACTTGGTCCAAGAAAAAAGACGAGGGAAAAGAACGTCTCAAACTCAGCTGCTGCGTTTATGTCCGCGAAGCCTCATATATCCACAACCTAACCACCGACGTCACAAGTCAACCTTTGTTATACAATGTTGACTTTGTGATCTTTGTTATACAATGTTGGCTTTGTGACCTTTGTTATACAATGTTGACTTTGTGCTCTTGTTATACAATGTTGACTTTGTGACCTTTGTTATACAATGTTGATACGCACCTTTGTTATACAACGTTGATATGAAACCCTACCACAAATGTGGAGCTGTTTCTTTTTCCTTGGTTTGGTTACAGTATGGGCACCCGACAACTGAAACTTATCTGCCCCAAATGCTTGATCTGACATTGGCAAAAGAAAAAAAAAAATGTAATTAGCTTGAATGAATCAACTCCAATAATTCAGAATGCTATATAAAAAAACAAAAAAAAAAACAGATGGAAATGGGGTTTTTAGTCATCCTAGAAAGGTTGAGGAATTTGCAAAAAAAAAACATTTCGAGGGTCGAGAAAATTTGTTAATAAACGTTGCTCAACAACACACTTTTATGGACACGTGTAGTGCAGCTTTGCTGCAATGAAGCACCAATGGAAGCAACAAGCACGAATCTTGTCACTCTGTCAGGTCTAGGGTGACCACCTTCCTGCTAGTGGAATGCGGGGCAGACGGGGGGGGGGGGGGGGGGGGGGGGGGGGATTTATTAAGACGCACACAAAGAACCAAGGCTCTGTTAACACGTTTACTATCCCGTACTGTTTATACACCTGCTAATTGTATTGCAGCAATTAAGCTCAATTAATTTTCACTACCAGTGATGGATTATTTTGAATGCCAAAGATGGCATTACATGTGCCGAAGTTGAAAACATAAAAATCTACTGTATCAGAACTCAATGCATCAAATGGAAACAAGAAACAGTAAATATTTTTCTGGTTATTGTTTCCTGTCCACGCTTCTATCAACATGGTCCTACACAATTTTTTTAACATTATGTTCTTTTTTGACCGTTGCATATGTGTGGCTGCCTCCACTAAAAAAAAAAAAAAAGAAATCCACAGCAAACTTTTCTCATTGGCATGGTGCTACAGAAATTTTTAAGATTATGTTCTTTTTCAACCGTTGCATGTGTAGTTGCCTTCACTAAGAAAAATAAATAGAAATCCACAGCAAACTTTTCGCATTGGCTTGGTACTACACACATGTTGAACATTGAGTTATTTTTCAACAGTTGCATGTGTGGCTGCCTTCCCTAAAAAAAAAAAGAAAGAAATTTACAACACACCTTTCGCATTGGCATGGCAATATGAAAATAATTACAATATTTTATATTTCAACTTTTGGCGAGAACTTTTTCTCACAATATTTTCCCACCAAAGAGAGAGGCCCAACGGCGCATGCACGTCGGTCCTCTAGCAAGAACGACGGTCGCTTCCCGCAATGCTTGGATAGATCATAGAACATGGCGTAATATTTCGATTTCGATTCAATTACTGGCGACCTCCGCACTTCCCCGTGCCCCATTTTTCGGCAGCACCGTGAGTTGCGGAGTGAATTTTACGACAGTGTGAAAGGCGGGACATTTTCTAGGTTTGGGACTTTCTCGCGGGACGCGGAACACGAACCCTCAATGCGGGACAGTCCTGCGAGTCACGGGACGGGTGGTCACCCTAGTCAGGTCACATCCCACAATCTGAAACAGTCGTCGTCTTTGGTTGCGTTAGCCTTTTTATTTTCTTTGTCGCGAATTGACCTGCGATGATTTGAATAAAGCTGTAAGGAAACAATTGGAAAGTTCTCAATTTATAATTATGTAAGGCATTTTCATTGATATAAGCGTTAAAAAGACTGTCAGGGGTTTGGGAGAAAGAGGGTACAGTGCTTTACTCACTGCAGATATAAATGGTGCATTGCTGAGCGCTCGGTCTCCTCCCAAGTGTATTGCTACTGGTCGAGGCCAGATAATAATAATAATTTTATTGCTAACAAACAAAACAAATGTGAAGTCAGGCCTGCCAAAGCCAAATGTGGCTCGACAGGCAGTGTTTACTAATATAATTAATAATAACAATAATGTTTATTTTGCATAGTGTGTGTGACGAAAAGGCACCGTGAAAAAAGACTGCAAAATCCTCAGCTTCTCCCCCTTACAAGCCGGCAACAGTGTCATCTACGCAGAAAAATAAGCAAAATTAAACCCTCAATCTATCACAAATTGTGCAAAAAAAAAAAAATGGTGGAACAATATTAGGAACACTGCAACAGGTTGGTAGCATCTAATCTTAGCAATGTTTAGCTCAACATAATCTGATTACAGTCAAACAAGTTTTGAAAATTGCCAATGAGGAAATGGGTCCTGTTTCTGGTAGCAGATGCCACTCATCTCCTTGTATTCGTGGGTCAGCCCAAAGAAATTTCTGAGAATCGCTTCTAACTTTTGCATGGTGTAGTGGCTAGTTATGAAACTTTTGGCGTCCGGTCCAAACTAAGCATTCCCCAATGCATAGTTTACTTTTGCTGTGAGAAAAACATTACTCTCTTTTCGTACAGGCATCTTATACTTTCGGGAATAACAGATGCAACGCATTCCTGGCCAGTCCCTTGTTTGTCAATCCAACGCAGGGATGGGCAAAATACATGCAAATGTGTATCGAAATACAAATACAAAATACTTTGTCAAAAATGTATTTAATTACAAATTAATTACATTTCCAAAGAAGCATTTAAGTACAGGATACAAATACAACCAAATGTATTTGATCTCCAAATACTTTTCCAAACACATTCCTCAAAATTTGCGTCAGCGACTTCAGGGCACCTGCAACGGGTTTCTGGGTATCTCATTTTAATTTTGCATCGCACACTCGGGAGTTGGTGTGCGAGGCTCTAGTAACGTAATAGAAATATAATTTAAAAAAAATGTAATCAGCTTGGACATAATAGGTGAAAAAAGTACAGAGCTTCAAGCAGCTTTTTTTGTCTTTTACACTTTGGTATAGACCAACAAAGAACCGAAACGACCAGACGCACAGCACTAGCTAGAGAATTTTTTATTGTTGCAACTCGCACCAGTTACAAATATCTGGACGACCCGCGCATTTAGAATGTTCCTGGCAAATTCGGTGCAGAACGTAGTTTTCTTCCTGCTCTGGACAGTGACAACAAATTTGAGAAATGTATTTTCGCCCACAAATTTGTATTTTATTACAACTGTATTTGAAATACCAACGTTTTAGTATTTAAATACCCAATTTGTAATTAAATACAAATGCAAAATACACGAAGTACTTGAAATACATATTTCAAATACTTGTATTTGAAATACTGCCCATCCCGGATCCAACGTAAATGACGAAGGTGTAACTTTTAGAAAAGATCATTTATAAAACTAGTATAAATGCAGTGGGAATACAATAACGGCTCAGAGTCAAATGGCAACTCTAACCACGACGCGTTGCGTTGCGTTTCCGCACCCGGCGATCAGGCTTCAGTGGAGTTGACGGTAGCTGCATCATTCCTTACCAGCTAAGAGTGCTGTCCACACAGAAGATGACTCCCCCTGACTTTTAGCGAACTTGATTTTACGCCCCCTAGGAATAGGTTAGTGGCAATATGAGCCCAAGGGGAGCCTTGCATGCACTCCTGTGGTGAGTGCAGTCTTTTCCGCTAAG